GAGAGAGAGAGAGAGAGAGAGAGGAACCAAGGGTTTGGATTTTAGTTATTTTAGGAAGAGAAAAAATGCTACAGATTTTTCTCTTTTCTAGTCAACAATCCTCACCAATTTTGGGGAGAAACTATATATTATGGAAAATACAAAATTGCCACCAAAATGACAGTCCCCATACCTGGCGCCCTGGAAAATTTATACAGAAAAGTTGGAGGAGAGTTTGATAAAATCTACATATTACAAACCTTGATCTACCCCAATTTTAACACATCATGATTGGAGCAACAGTATCCAAGGGACTGTTACAAAAGGGAGGGAGGCCTTCTCTGCCCCCCCCCATCCCATGTACATAATTCAAGCAGTGCTCCTCTCCTTTGTTCATCAACATCTAATTTAATATACATACAAAATAAACTACTGGCTGTAAATTCCCCTGTCCCTTAGGTGGCAAATGATAGGGAGTGTTATTCTTCAGTCATTGTGTCCGACTCTGCGTGACCCCATGGACCAGAGCACATCAGGCCCTTCTGTCTTCCACTGCCTCCCGGAGTTGGGTCAAAATCATGTTGGTCACTTCGATGACACTGTCCATCCTTCTCGTCCTCTGTCGTCCCCTTCTCCTTTTGCCTTCACACTTTCCCAACATTAGGGCCTTTTCCAGGGAGTCTTCTCTTCTCATGAAATGACCAAAGTATTGGAGCCTCAGCTTCAGGATCTGTCTTTCCAGTGAGCACTCAGGGGTGATTTCATTCAGAATTAATAGGTTTGTTCTCCTTGCAGTCCATGGGATTCTCAAGAGTCTCCTCCAGTACAACAATTCAAAAGCATCAATACTTCAGTGGTCAGCCTTCTTTATGGTCCAGCTCTCACTTCCATACATTGCTACTGCGTGGAAGTGAATAGAAAGTCCGATGCTGCAAAAAAAAATACTGCATAGGAACCTGGAGTGTAAGATCTATGAACCTTGGTAAGCTGGATGTGGTCAAACAGGAGATGGCAAGAATAAACATTGACATCCTGGGCGTCAGTGAACTAAAATGGACAGTAATGGGCAAATTCAATTCAGACAATTACCATATCTACTA